CAAGCCCCGGCCTGCCTCGGCGACGGGCCACCTCCGTGGCCGTGGCTGAAGCGCGCCCGCAGAAGACAGCTTGCCAAGCCGACCCCCTAAGTGCGGAGACGTTAAAGCTGTCGTTTGCGGTGAAGTAGGTCTTCTCGCTAGTCAGCCTTTAGTTAAGGAAGGAGTTTGACTAAGCTTCTACTTTTTCTGCATTTAGGGTGCTGCAGTACGCTGAGTGAGTGCCCAGGACTGAAACAAATTGACAGTGTTTGTCAAACCTGCTAAACTATTCCGGATTGTAAAAAAGCGAGGCTGGCTCTGAAGGGTCTTAGTTTTTGTGATATTACAGGCAATAAAACGATTTACGAGTTAAATAGAAATCCCCTGAGAGTTACTAATGGTGTATAACTTCTGGCTTAAGGAGTCCCTGAGGCTCGGGGTTGTTGGCAGCGTTGCTATTTGGTTAGCCTAACGCCTGCGCTTTGAGCTTGTGTTACTGGTGGTTGTTAGCTGGACCCTTGGATCTGTCTTAGCCTAACTGTTGTTATGTAGCATGCTTCACCTTCAGTTTTTGATGCATTAAAAATAAGCCTTTGATCAATTGTCATGCAGTAATTCATTAAGGTACAGTAACTTATGTGTATGTTTCATTCTTAAAGGAATGATTTTTAAACCAGTTTAAATTAGTTTACAGATACCTGTTCTCACAGCTGTATGTGCAGCCTCGTGTTTCTTTCACTTTCTGATGTATATGGCCTTGAGAAAATGCATATGCAATTATGCTGGATTATGCTTAATGATTTTCCAATCTAACAAGCTAAATTTAAAGAGCCAGAAAAATCAAGCAGTTATGAAATACTTGTGTTTTGTTTCTTAAAAGTATATTATTGGTTCAGCTATAAGCAGCAGTTAAATTGTTTTCAGCTATGATTATACATAAGTTAAAAAATTGCTGAGCCAGAAAGATCCTGCAAGGAAACATTGCTGTATCTTCGATATACCGTCTCTATTACAGCACTAAACTCATAGATTTTGTTTTACTCTGTTTTTGCTTAAATTTTGACATGGATAGGCACTAAGATACCTGTAGCAGAAGTAGAGACTCTAACAGATCATTTTTCAAGCAGATATGATACATGCATTTTATTAGTTCCTCAACATTTTTTGCTGACAATTGAAAAATCAAGTGTTTGCATTGACTGTCAGCTGGATTTCAAGTACTTACGTTGTTTGATCAGTCGAGTCCTTAATAAATTAACTTTGACTAGTAGATCTTGATTCTTCTGTCAAAGCAAAAGGCAGGTCTTTTTATTTCTTTTCTGTTCAAGAAACATAAATGGTGTATTTAGACTTCTTCGCTTAGATCTTCCATCTAACTGTACTTTAAAAATTAATGAAATAGGTCATAGTCGTCTCCTCTCTTTCTGCAAAGGTGTAACACCTCAAGCTCCTGGGAAGGTAGATGGGGTGTAGCTGGAAAGGGTCCATCCAGACCCGTAACAATAGATTCTAAGAAGAGACGTGAGATAGTGGTGTTAGAGGTGCTAGTACTTCTACGTGGCTTTTGTTAGTGTACCTGCTTCTGTATTGAAAATGGTACGCCTGTATGGTATTCTTAATGTATATGCCACCTTAAGGTATGGTCCCAGTCTTTTTTCAGTCCAGCTGTAATAAGTAAAGAATGTACCACTTTTCAGTTGGAGATTACCTCTTCCGCAGTTGAACTCCACCTGTGAACTCTCCTGATCCGTTGCAGCACACAGTTGCATTGGTTTGGACCATCTGTTTCTGACTAAATAGTTTGAGGAACACGTATGTGATTTCTGAAAGTGTATTTATTGTGGGAATACTTACTACTATCTGAGTGGTAAGAAGTGGAAAGGAAACAACAGCAGTTTATGTTCTTGGAGTGCGAATGGATGTCTTGGATCTAGCTGGAGTTATTGAAGAGGTTGCTGCTACCCTCTACTTGCAGCTGCATCAGCGACTAGTTCGCATGTGCAGTACTTCTCTGCTGAAACTGCTTTGGACTGTTAGAAGCTCTAGTTTATAAAATAATACTACAAGAAGGGTAGTATTCTACCCTTCTTGTATAAAGGTGGTATAGCTGCCACTTCTAGGCCCTGGATGATTTTATGTTGTCAAAAAAGTTATGTTATCGGATGTTCAGAAATAGACTGAACTTCCATATTTTGTGGTGTGATCAGGATCAGGATGCAGTAAACCGCTTCAGCACGTGCTGATGAAATTTAGGTTATGTTCACACTTTACTGCCTCGCACTTCGTCTTTGATCCAGTGAGCGTAGTAACCTCCTGCTATTGTGGATACAGCTAGATCTAAAGAAGATGATGTAGTTTCCAGAAGAGATCTCAGCCACTGGGATGAAACAAGCCTTCCTTCCATTCCTAATTTTAAGGTCACCTGAGTGGATGGCTGACTGTGGATCCTAGAGGAGAGAACTGAGCTCAAGGGATCCTTGGGTGAGTTGCTGCCTTACCACCTGCTCAAATTTTATCTGCTTCATACGCTTTCTACTATGAAATGTATAATAGTAACTAAAACTTCAAACAGCTTTTATTCTTCTATGTACTCTGTTGCTTGTTTAAATCACTGAAAATGCAGTATACAAAATAATTTCAGTGGTGCTTCCTGAATGTAGGTATTTGAGCTAAATAGTTCGTAAGATCTATAGTGGAATGTAAATAACATCTTTTTCTAGATAGCAGAGATTGGAGCATCAGTCGCTTTTTTGGTGGCAAGTGAGAGTTTTTACTTCTGTAATATACATGCTGTAAACGACTGAAATAATGATGAAGGAATTGCATGTCCTGTCAGACTGCTTTTTCCTGTTACGTGTTTGTCTCTTGTTTATTAAGTGGAGGAGGAAACTGCTTTTGCTTGACCCTTTTAAGCAGATTTTTGGTGCAGAGTAGTACAATTTACAGGTGGTGAATACAAAATGGACTGGCTTTATGCAGTGAGCTAGCAGCATATGTTGAGCCAGTTGGATTTGTAGAAACTGACCTGGAGTAATGTATTTTGATTTAAATTTGATATGTATTTACAGCTGGTAACTAATTGTGTGTTGCAAAATACAGCTTTTGGAGGGAGGGACACTAGTTAGAATTGAGAATGCTGAGCAGTTCACCAAGTTGGGCATTATCTTTTCTGTGCTTTTGTGATGCTATAAAGCTTCACGCTGAAGCATGCGGGGGAATGGGGGAAAGGAACTGGGAAACTAACCTAGTATGATATTCGAGTGAGACATGCAAGCCAAGAATGAAGACTTCCACTCTGTCCCTGGTTTTAAATGCTTATTTACTATGTATTCATATCTTGCTGGTTAAAAAAGCAAAACAGTCTTTTTGATTTGGGTTATTTATATGGCTAATTTTACTGGATTTAGGATGTAAAAAAAAAAAAAACTTAAAATATCTTTTCAGACTTTTTCAAATTTTGAGTATGTACTGTGTATAGTACATAATTCTTAAAATATTTTAAAAACGCATTTTCTCTTTTAGTGGCACTTGTAAAAATGTACATTCTTTTATCTAAATTATGATTAATGCAGTAAGTGCATGTTTGTCTTCAGAGTTCTATATTACTCGTTTGTCAAAGCAAGTAAACTTACAGTTTGCTACTTCCACCGTACGGTTAACTGTCTTTAATTTGCAAACTGTGTGAACTTTGAGTTTCAACACTGCAGAAGCAAATTTCCCAACGCGACCTGATTACCAATGACACATGCAGGTTTAAGCAAGTGTTAAAAGTAGAGAGACAGTTGTCACTGCAGATTTTGTTCTCTAATTGTTTTCCTGTGATTAGAATGAAAGATACCTACCCCAGATGGATGCGCAAAACAAAATGCTGAAGGAAAAATTAATGTCTCGTCTCCAGTTTGAACCAGGGAGGACAGAGGTACCGCACATGTTAAACGGCAGGTATATTATGGGTGAACCGCCTGACAGCAGTAAGAAAGACAACAGTGAACTGGTGAGAATGTACATGTTTTAAGCCAGCCTAAGTGTTAAAATTTTAACTGCTATTAATATCCTCCTAACTACAGTCCTGTTATAGTAGAGATCTGACTTTTTAATTAAAGTTTAATATTCCAATTGTATGTTGTCTTAAAAATTAAATAAGAAAGTATGTATGTTCCTAAATCCTTTCTAAATTTGCATGCCAAAGTCCAAAATTAGATCTTCAAACACCCTAGTCAGTTGCTGCTAATCCTGGATTCAGGCTTAGCCCATGGATTTGTAAAATTAAAGCCAGCGTAGGTCCATGCATGCTTCTGGGCCAAACTCTGGGCATAGACAGCTGTGACTGTTGAAACTGTAGTATTGCTAGAGTTTTTAGGTGCCTAAAACCCAAACGTAAACAGACCTGTAGGAGAACAGAGGTGCTTGTAGAGACTCTCTGGGCGTTTGCAACAATGTTAATATTGGATTAATTTTTGCATAACTGATTTTCTTTGCCCAGCTCAGCTATGGGGATGTTGGGATGTCTGGTAAGGTTCAGAAAAGTAACCTCAACCAGTTGGTAGACAGAGATCCTTTATATGGATAACCTTGATACACATAGGATAATCCTTGATTTACAGTATTTTTACATACAGATTTTTAAATCTGTCTTCTGCCTGAAGAAATGTTAAAAACATAAAAACACACCGATTACCTGCATAATGCCTATGCAGCCATGGGAATGACAGCCTACCTCCTAGGAAACCTTTAAGTGAAACTGCAGAGACCATGTTTAGGTAGTGGGTAGTAGTTGGCTTAAATATCCTGAAAAACAATGATTTGTTATTCTAAATTTAGAGTTTATTTTTCTGAAGGTTTGTAATTCTTTCAACCTTGAGTTGTTGGAAACAGGAGAAAGGAGTTTCATAGTCCATATGAAAATACTAAACATTAACTGTCACGTTTCAAGCACAGTTATTTTTAAGTCATTTGTTGAGATGCTTTTTACACGCAAAATTTCATGCGCATAAAATATCTTAACTCAGAAGAATTCTGTATTGAAAGCTGAGTTAAGCCATCAGTTGGTGCTTTTTGAAAACATTTTCCAAAGCTCTGAAATAAATTTCTTCATTGATTTTACCGTATAATATATGACCACCCACTCGGTAGTTATTAAAATTAATGTATTTCTCTGCTCTTTGTTCTCAGTCATCCTCGGTAGAGAAGAAATACTCTATTCTCCGCACAGCAGTTTACAGAGGAAGCACAGAAAGGAAACACAAAACAGTAATAAAAGAGTAAGGCATGTGTTTTGGAAATCCGTATGTAAAATAATATTTTTTTGTGATATCTTTTTGTTCTGTGCTACTTAAAATTTGAAACACCAATGGATGTCTTATACTGACTTATTTGACTGCTTCCCTGTGAATTCTGTGAAGGCTGGATTAACACTCCACCGTAAACTTTATAATTTGGGCCTGTGGCAATAGAGCCTGATCGTGTTTGTGTCAGTGAAAATCCAGAGAAGTGCTAGTGAGGTCATTGTAAAAGGAATACAGTCTAGTCAAATCATATTTTTGGTTCTAATAAGATGGGGGTAATATATGATTCTCTCTGAAAGTGTATTTCTGTATATTGTGTTACTTTCACTTGTATAGCAGAACACAAATATTAGTATTTTTCAAATATAACGATGCGATATGATGACTGAGTTAATTTAAATGTTTAATGTTTATTATCTTTCAATGGGACTAAAGAAGTAGTCATAATACTCTCAAATGCTGTATCAAAAAACCTTTGAAGTGACATGAGAAGGTGAAAGGATGATGTCTACTTGCCAAGAAGCAAGGGATCAGAAAAATTGCCATAGTGGGATAGACGAGTAGTCTGTTTAGCCCAGGATTCCCCCTTCAGCATTAGCAGGAGCAGAGGCTATTTGGGGAGAGCGTGCCAGTGGCTTTGCTGGGTCGTTTCAGTATCTGTTTATGAACCTGTTGTCTATGAACTTGTGTTCTCTCTTCTTGAACCTGCTCACCGTCAACCTCCACGGTTTCCTGTGGCAGAACGTTTGAGAAGTTCATAACCCCCAGTCCTCAAGCACAGTTCATCTTTTGGTTTCCTTTCCCTCCTTTTGTACAGGTGATGAGGAAGGAAGGTAATTTTCTGCGGCTTAAGAGACTAGAACACCTTCTAGGCAAACCTCCGTTCCTGCATTTTGTAGACAGGATTGAAAGCACATTCGGGGCATTTTTTGTCCCAAGTTCCATAAAGAAATGACATTTTACTGACTTCAGCTATCAGTTTCTTCCCAGTGAATCTTGGAGTAATTGACCACTTGCATCTAAACTTATATGAGACATGCAGAGATCTGGAGGGTGTGAAGTTCTTTTTGGTTTTGTGAAAAGTGAGTTCTTGTATAACGGAACCTTAATTTTCATAAGTCCTGAGCCAGGCAGAACTTTCTTCATCCCGCCTGTCAGAAATAGATTATCTGACCAGTTAGAATCTGCACTCTGGCTTGTATCACCAGCCACAACAGATGCTGCTGGTTGTCTAGTTTAATTAATGGGTGGTATGAGAGAAAGCTGAGAGGAGGAGTCCAAGCGTGGAACCTGAAGAAAGCTGAAATTACTTCTGGAGAGTGATTGAGGAGTATTAAAACAGGTTAGGAAGCTGCCAGTCTTCATTCATTTCAGTGCTCACGGTACAACTTATTTTGTTGTGTTTGTGTAATTTTTGTCTTTGTACGTCTGTCATAAGAGTCACGAGAAAAGCAGGTTAAGTGCTGATGTTACCATGTTGGGGACCTTAACACAGACTTCTGTCTCTTCTGTCTGGATGTGAGAACTACTTTGACTTTTCCAGCACTTCATCGCTCTTCATTAGACAGAAACTTTTTGAGGGTTGCTCTGTGCTACCTGAGGTTTCACTTTTTTTCTCTTATACCTGAAGAACTCAAGCTATCCTTTCACAAGGCACAACCCCTCTAAGCGCAGAGCTGTATGCACTGGTTGTATCATCTTGTTCAGTATAGTCTAGTTCTCCGCTTATTTTTTTGGGACAAATTTCTTCACCTGGGGACCTTCTCAGCCTCAACTGTGGGACTCTGAAGAAAGAATTTTGTTACAGTTCCTGGTCCCAAAAAGAAAGAACGTCCTTATATCTGGGAATTATGGAAGATCAACTTCATTCATAGACTCAAGCACAAGATAGAGCTAACCACTGTCCCTTCTTTGGAGGCAAGGGACTGGTTTGTACCTCTTATCATCTAGGACAAACTTGCATATTGCCATTGTGTGTTATCACCAGAAAAACCTAATTCAGGGTGAACCAAGTCAATTACTGAAGATGATTCCAGTGATGCTTTAGTTTAGCTGATAGCAGACCAACATAGTGTTGCACTGTATCCTGGCTAAATGAGAGATTAGTTTTTAAAAAAAAAAAAAAAAAAAAGCAAAAAAGGGGTTTCTTCGTAAGAGTTCACAGAGGACAGCTGCATAATCTTGACCCAGGGAAGGTAAACGTTCAAAAAATTCTAGTCCTCTGAATTGCATTCTTTGTACTGCTTTGGAGTTTGGCCAATTTATACTTCCTCCAGGAATTCCAGATCTGAATGGACATTGGTGTCTCTGAACGTGACAGTCTGACACGGGAGTCAGGACTTTCCTGTCTATTCTGAGCCATATTGTCTTCTGCATCTCTATAATGTTGCCTGACATCTACTTCTCAGATATGTGCAGGGGACTGACTGTGGTTTCTGTTCTCTAGATAATCAGTACATTTAGTGAAATCTAGATAACCATTCTATATGATCACTATTCTCTAGATAATTAAAAATCCCTGTTCTGTTACCAGGTCCTCTCTCGCTTTCTCCCGTCAGGCAGGAAAGTTACTAGCGTTCCTGTTCTTTCATATTAGTCCCAGCATTAAGGCAGGTAACGTTTGTGAACAGCTTCAAGGTTCAAGATTTCTAGAAGAGCCATATTGAGAATTCCAGGGTAGCTGTTATATCTGGTAAAACTATCTTTTTTCTCAAAGACCCTTAGATCAGTCTCCAGAAAAACAGGCTGCAGTTGTTGAAGAACTACCCGCAGCTAAATGTGCGTGTGAGCAAATACCAGGAGATGAAAGAAGTTATGGAATAAAGTACATGTTTTGAGATGTATTTTTGGTGTGTGCAGTGCTCACTCCATCCTTCCTTTTAGTAGCTTGTATTCTGGAATTCTGTACTGGAAGAGGAACTGGGGGTTAGACTTATGCATTGATCTTCTGTGCTCTTGTGGGAAGTGCATATTGTGTGTGGCTGCTGCTAAAGCAAAAAAGTTCCAGCACGTGAGTTCTAGACCATTTCAGCCGCTGATTGTTCTTTGATGTTATTGCCACTTGAACATAATCTAGAGCAGGCTTAAACAAATCATCCTTTCAAGTTTGGACTATATAGCCTGAATATTTTACAGCATATCCACGATTAAGTTAGACCAAGAGTTAGCTCAAACTGGGTATTTCTTTTTTTCACCATTGTTCCTGTTTTTTATATTATTTTTATGTTTTTATGTTATTTTCAGTTGTTACTGAAGATGAGGCTACTCAAATGAGAGCAAGTTGTGCATGAAATCATTATTTCCTTTGGATTTTTAATATATTTTTCATTTAATCTTGACAAATGAAATTAATTGGAACTTCACAGATGAAAACATACCTGAATTGTGCATGCTTTACTGCGTGCAGAGGCTAAGTCTCCCCCAAGATACGTAAGAAGCTGGTGTTGGTGTAGGAGATGGAAACTGAATCTCCTGTGTCCTATTTCTGTGTGTTAATTGCTGACAGTTATTTTCCTTATGTTTCATAAAGGCTAATAGCACAGTTTTGGTTTTTGGAGCTGTCTAGCTTAACCTTGAATTATTTTTCATTCATATTGAACTAATTTCATTAAGAGATTGTTTTCAGATTAGTTTTCAAAGAGCGTGTTGTTGATTGTAGAGTCTCAAGAAAACATAAAGAGGAAAGAGGAGAATCTCTTTGTCAGCCTACTGGAGTGTCAGAGCATGAGACAATGAATCTAAACGGGAGCATAACACAAATGGTATCCCTAATGTCACAGAATGAGAATTTGAAAACGACACTTTCAACAACTTCTGTTAGCAAAGGAGGTCAGCATTTTTTGGCATGTCACCACCTTCTACAGTATATGGTAGAGTACCTAAAATGACGGAGAGGGAAGTAGTAATAGATATGACTTTCTTTACTCGTAATCGTAAGAATTCTTGAATATGAAATATGCATTGTCCGCTAGTGCATTTCTAAAAGAGAATGCTGTTAAGTCTCAAGCATTCTAGTGTTTACTTCAAACATGGTATGATTATTTCTTTCTGTGGTTTTTTTTTTTTGGTTGCTATTGAAATTAACAAAGCCTACGTGGGCTTACAATATTTGATGAGATACATAATTTTACAGTGGGCAGATGTTCTGTCTGCCTCTACAAGGTCTGTAGAATAGAATGCTGCTCTTTCTCTGGGCATTACAAGGAATATGAATGACACTGCATGTGTATGTGGTGAGTGTGTAAAAAAAGAATCCTTCAAAACTTCACATCTTTAAAAGGAAAAAATGGAGTAGTGGAGATGTAAGTAAAAGTGAACTAACAGGAGTGTAAAAAGAATGCTAAAACACCGCTTTCTTTCAGAGTGGATGGTCTTCTAGTATTTAAAAACTAAAACTCCAAACCTTCTCCCCAAAGCAAACACTAAAAATCAAGGTGAAAGTTGTCCTCTTTACCTCTCAGAATGCATTGAAAACAAGGATTACATTTCATACTGAGGTCAATGTATGATCTGAATACAAGTTTTAATGTATTATCAACAAAAGGATATAGAGTTCTCTCTTTCTTTCTTTCTCTCTCTCTCTCTCCCCCCCCCGCCACCTTCTGTCTCTGAATCAGAATACGTTTTGAGATACAGAAGTTGCAGAAATGTTGTAAACTTATAGGAAGTTTTGCTTAAATTCGAAAATGATTGTGCATGGTGTTGTACTTTAAATAAATAATATTTTTCTTTTTAACGTATCTATTACAGGTAATATTAGTACTGAAATGCAAACAGCTGTTTTGGAACCAAGTTGCAGTAAAAAGATTTGTGAGCAACCAAAAGCTGAGAGATCATCTAATAAGCCTCTGAGGAAAAGAGTTCCTTCGTATGATAGAACAGGTATGTAAGTCTTACCACAGAGCTAGACTAGTTATGCCACTTTATTTACTTCAGATTTACATTGATACGGTAGAGAATACACTCAGCTGCTGCTCTTCTTCCTCATCCCTGTCTTCCCTTTAGAGTAACTGTACACATACAGGGGAAAAAATTGTGATACAGCTCTAAATTAAAGCATGCTGTCATTTTAAACCTTATTCCAAAGGCTAACAACTTCTTCCTCCATGTTTAGCTTCTGATGCTTTTTTTTATACCTGATATCAGACCAGAACTTAATGTACTTTCGTACAGCCGTTGAATTTGTGTTTTAAGGTTGTTTACGGCTAACTACGAAACCTTTTTTTTTTTTAATTAGAGAGATGATTCTTAAGGAACAGTTATGTTTTCCCACTTATCTTCTGGGGTTAGTATGGGGAAAAATAGATTTTGCTCATCATTTCTCCGTTAAAAATATCTGTCATTGAGTCTGAAAACTGGGAGGGAATGATACTGCAATTAGATTCTAATAATTTTTTTAACAAGCCTTTTGTTTTATGCACGTTTTAATAGAGATTACATTGTGGAAACGTTGTGGAAACAATTACTTTTAATGCTTTCTAGGATATCTCAATTTTTTTCCCCGTAACTTTGCAGAGTCTTTTGTTAAAAAGTGTTTTTCTCCTATACGTGACTATTTAGATTGGTCTGATTTCTTAATGGGTAGTATGTTTCCATGTACAAAGGAACTTCTTTTAAGTATTAGGCAGAAGAACATTATTGCTGATCTCTTTTCAAGCTTCTTTTTGTTTAGCTGAAATTTTGTCCTCCCTTCAGAGGCCTTTTCTTATTCTTTCATAGTTGTGTTTTTAGCATTTGCAAAAGCCTAGGGCCAGCAAGTTGTGTTTCTTCTAGTGAATATGTTGAATTTTGCTGTGTAAACTACACAGAGGAATAAGTCACTGGCAGTTGAAGTCACTTTGGTTCAATTGAACGCCTGTTCTCCAATTGCTTTAAAATACATTTGGAACACCTGAAAGCTTGTTCTTTTTCAGAATGACCTTTTAAGCCATCTTCTCGACTTCTTCCATCTTTATACTAAGTCACATCAGACCAATTCTCCGTGCCGGTTAGGTCTGTCTTATGAAATGAATCTAAAGATTGTATGTTTAAGAAAAACACTTATATTTTTTTTTCCTCTTTCCTTGATGTACCAGAACCGATTGATGATGACGTTATAATGCATATTTTGAGGCTTCGAGGCAAACTTGGCTGGGAAACAAAGTTACCATCAGGTGAACGTTTAGCTGGAGAGGCTGATGTAACCAGGCATCAGAAGTTTGCATTTATGGTAATTTTTACCTTCCATTTTCCACATCTTGTGCAATTATACTCCAGAAATGGTCTTGGTTATAAATCTAAAATACTTATTTCCTGAATATTTTTGCCTCTGAAAATGATAATTCTGTCGTTAGAACCAACAAGATGTTTACCAAGAATAGACTGTTAGCAGAATTTAATTCTCTACCTTAAAAATAGGAAGTAGAAGCTAAATTACACTTTGCTGTGGGCAGAGCCACGCTGTAATGCTGGGAAAAGATGAACGGAATAGTGGTACCTAGAATTATTTATTCCATAGCTGAGTGCATAGCAATCACTTAAGCTGTAGCTAGTACTCCACATAGCTCAGCCATTCTAGCACTACCTTAAATATGAGGAATAGAACTATGATAGGATAGGTCTGTCCTGCTCAGACGTGCCAAGTATGAGGCCGATATTTGTTGTGAGTGATGTTGGGCGATCTGCTCCTGATGCCGAAATATTCCTTCATGCAAGTGCAGAGTAGCAGAGGCCCTCCTGTGCTCTTTCACTAGTTTGATGCACTTGCAGACAGACAGACACACATTTGATCTAATTGTATTGAGTATTGGCATCTACAGATTTTGTATATATGCCTTTTCATGACCAAGCAAAATAGCCAGTACAGCAAAACAAAATGAAGTTTGTTTCTGTGTGCACAATATTGCTAAATCTTTTGAAGGCACAATTAAAAAATATCATCTGTATTATATTTCATTCCTTGGGACTTCAGACTTAAAATATGTCTGCAAAGTTTTTAAGAAGCATTACAGTTGTCCGCAAAACTAAAGTTTGTTCCAGCTAGAATGATGTCCTGGCAAAACAACTAGATACCAGTGATATCGACAGTCTTTAACTGTTAGGTGTTTGCAGGTTAAGAACTTTATAGTATTGTTTAAGCTGAACAATGCTTACCGCTGCCTTTGTATATAAAGAAACTGAATTACTGGAAAGTCTGTGGCTTGTTCAAGCTTGCATAAGAAAATTGTAACAGTAATAGGGTTTAGTCATAGGTCTGCTGGTTCCTTGTCCCTATGATCCATCTTGTTTTCTCAACAAGAAATAGTAATATTTAATTTCCTGCTGCTGGAACAGATGAATGATTATTTAGAGTGGAGTTGACAGAAAACTTTGTAATAACATGTAGAATAACTTTCCAGTCAATTCAGTATTGTTATTTACTAAGCGTGTTATTAGAAAATTTTGGTACTTGTTTAACTTTCTTCTCATGGTGAAATATATAACTTGTACTCATGAAAAATAAATTACATACCTACGTATGAATCATTTCCTCTTTTGACAGAAACCTTTATTGCTAAAAGATAGTGGAGAATATGTATATTGTCTTCGAAGAGACAGGAACAGCTTTAAAGCTCCCTATAACCCATATGATTTACAGGCTGTCTCTGTGAATACAGCTAGACAAAACAAAGAATATTGGACTGTTACGGCATCATTTGTGTCTAAGGTAGAAGTATGTTACTTAAAGCATAGATTAACATGAACCCAAAGAATTCCACAGAAAGAACCCTTTTGCTTTTTCACTTCTTATCATGTCATGCTCCTGTTAAAATTATGTAACCTTATTTACTTCAGTGCTTACTGGTCCTGCCTTAAGACAAGTCTTTGTTGACCCTGAGCTTAACGTTGCTGATCCTTTTCCTCAGGCATATGCTTAGATCTTGAACTATGGTCTCCAGTTTGAGTTTGCAGAGGTGTCAGGAGAGGGCTAAGTTTGTTGCTTACTAGCACTCTACTAATCCACTAACTATCTGCATTTTTGGGCATGTTAATACACAGCAGGGTATACACTTAGATTCTGCATGTTTTGATTTCACACAAGGGCATACTTCTTGCTGATGATTGTACATAAAATTTGTAATGTTATTCTTTAAATTGAAGTAGGTAAGCCTTCCGTAACTGTTCAGTGATTAGTCTTTGTTTACTCTTGAACAGCATTTCCTTTTTTGAAGAAGAAAAGGACAAAGTTTATTCTTTACCTCAGAGTGAGATTTCATGATGGGTTTAAGCCTGTGTAAGGCTGCTGAGTGGCTGGCTCTAAGCCACACTTTCCATTCTGTTGCCACCGGTGATTCTGTGGCCAGAGTGTTGGATCATCTCATAAAATATTTTTGTTCACTTTCAGCTAAATTAATATGTGTATGTATTTACTTGCTAGGTTAATTTTCAATCAGATTAGAGAGCTGATCCATCCTACTGAGAGCACAGAGTATTGATATGCCTGAAAGGACTAAAAATAATACCTTTTAAGAATCTGAGCGCTATATTGCTTGATGTTTCCACAGTTCTTAAATGTCTTTGTAAAGACTGGATTTCTGCTTCATCCTTGAATCCTTTATTCTCTTTGACATCAGTAAAGTTGACGTAGTAGTATAACACTAACCTTGCGTGGAAAAAGTGATAACGGCATCATTTGCATAATTTACATAATTGGATTTTTGCTGGTTGCTGAAGTTAAATTTTTAATTGTGTATATGACAGGCATGACTTGAAGTCAGAAAATTCAAACATTGCTTAGAAGTTGATGCAATTACCCCTATTAAGATGGCAAAGATATGTTTACTACCTGTAGAGGTATTAAGATTTTATAAAACCAGACTGGGAAAACAGAATAAATGTTGGGAACCTGACTGGAAAAAGAGAGCTGTAACCTTGTCCCTTTGCGCTGAGAATGCTTGCTACAGTGCATAAATTTGAAGTACAGTTTTCAAATACAGATCTGTTCCAAAATGTGTCTCATAAGATCTACCACTTTCTTTGGCTAAAACACAGAATGATTAATTCAAAACAATTAATTAGTGCTTAGTAGCAGATCTGCTATCTCTTATGCTCCTATGAAAGATAACGTTTGATATGTAGGTACATCTGTCCATTACCAATTTGCTGTTTCCTTGCCAGTCAGACTCTAGTCCAACGTTTGAAAATAAATTATACTAATTTACCACTTCTCATTTTTATAGTCTTTCACACTGCAATGAGAATGAAAATTTATTTTCTTAGTATGTTACTAATTTGTTTATAAGATGCTATTTTCCTACCTGAAAGATATGGCAGAGGTTTAAGAAAAGGTTTTTGGAGATTGCCGCTGAAAAGCGTTACAGTGACGACCCTGTAGGCGGATATAGCTGTCCGCGTTGAATTGATATTCCGTAGTTTCACTTGCTAACAGTAAATAATTACATTCAGATGTTTCCTTTTTGTATACCTTATCTGAGATAAGTATTTCTTTGTAAGAAAGATATTGAATGGGCCTAAATGAAGGTGATTTTAAAATGTGATGAAGGGGTTTCCTAAATAAGGATAGATCTGAACATCTGCTTAATTACTTTCCTAGATAGTGTGTATGTGCCATAATCACGTATCTTGAATGATAGAAACTTCTTGATATTTGGAATGATAAAAACATGCAGTAACTGCAGACTTGTTCAAAATTAAATGCAAGCTGCATTGGTAGATCAGATAAAACGTCGTGAATGGTGCTACCACTGAGGTTGTCAGAATTTGTCTCAACGTTAATGAAGATTCCATAACACTGGTCAAATTCTTTTAAAAAGGAGTAGTATAATATTTCTTTTTTTCCCCTAGTTTTCTGCAGAGCATAAATTAGGAGAAATAGAAATGATACCAGTTCCACAATGGCTGCGTGAAAGACAGCTGTATTATAAATTAATCAGTTTTAATTTATTCTCCAATTTCAGGTAAGAAATTAAGGAAAAATTAAAGCTAACTAATTACAGTAATAACTTTCTAATATCTTTGTGTGCTAAAATGCCAGCTAGTTCCTCAATACCGTGTTAATTCTTGTATTGAGGTTTTCAATAATTACAATATTTAAAGATTACTCAAAGTGGTGCTTGTTGTGATGTCTAAAACATTAAAGGAACAAAAAGTCCTTCTTTCTATTTTGTTATTTTTCATCTTGCTTCTTTAACTGTAGAAAAAGTAAGAATATCTCTAGTCATGTCTTCATAGGCACTAGATTTTAAAAGGTAAGGAAATTCTTTTGTTGTCTTATATACATTGACATTATAATGAATGTATGACATAGCTAGTACTGTTCGCTTTATATAGAATGCATCTGAGCAAATTATATAGTGTAAAATAGAAGAAAATATTTACTGGTGAGATTGTCACATTCTTTTTGTTGGCTGTTACGGAAGCAGCAGTAAAAACATATAACCTCTTGCTCAAACTAACATTGAACATCCATCTCTTGCACGTTTGCCTCAATATTTAACCTTTATTACTTTTTATTATTTGTTTCTAATATCTGTTTGACTTTCACCTGGAGAATGTTACTGAATGTCATTTAGTTTTGAGATTTGATCCTATATGTCTCCTGTTACTTTTGTGTATGCATCAGTCATGACAGTGATAGAATCACAAAAATGTCCACGTTTTTGAAACTGCATTTTATGTAAGCCATTGCCACATTGCACATTTAAAAATTAACCAAAGTAATCATGACCTTATTTCCTTACATGGCTCCACAAAATTCTGCTGACATTTGTTGTTCCTGAACGTATGTGTGTATGTTAGTTAGGGAGTTTAAGACAGCTGTGATGGAGTGTTTAAAAGCCTGGTAAATCAAGCCAGTTTTTAGTAAAATTTTACTAGACTGACATTCTTTCACCGTGCACTTCATGCTGTTATCTTGTCCTTCCTCATTATCAGTCGTTATCACTGCATATTCATACAGGTGTTTGTAATCTTTAGCTGTGAGTATACAGTATGACAGAGCTGATGCTGCAGTACTGCAGTGCTAACACTGATGGCTACAGTTCCTGGTGGCTGTAGTCACTGAAGTTGAAGTAACAAGACTCAGTATCCCTTTACCAAGGGAACCTGAAACTATAGTGAACGTCCACTCCTACACCAAATTGGGGATTTTACTGTTTTATAAGGTGTTTTGAATTTCTAAGATAATTGGCATCTCCCCCTGGGCTAGGTGCTGCAAGAGCTTGGTGGGTAGTTTACCAGGCTCCAGCAGGTGCACTATCGTGTTGCTTGGTTGTTTTGTTTTCCTTTATTTTCCTTAGTTAGCTGCCGCTGCTTTTCTTAAAGCAAAAGCCCAGCTGTTCAGGTTGTGTTTTATTACTGGCCAGTAATTGACCATCAGTGAGTTATTTATGACTCTGGGGCTTCTGCTTTCAACCTGTGCCTGTATTTTCAAGGCCTTTGCTGTTATCCCATGCTTAAATTACATCACAGCAAGAGACACCTGGTATACGAAGCTCTGGTTTATACAGATAACAAGCCTGATAGGGCTGGACCTAGCATAGTTAGCATAAGGCACAAAAGCTTATGGCTTTTTAGTAGCAATGGCAATACTATTTTTACTGGGCTACTAGGCACAAAAATACTTACTCAGTTACGATGTATTGGTATGCTCACATTTGGGTTTAAAACAAGATGATTTTAAAGTCTCCTTAGTGTGCTTTTTCTTTTCTGGGTACAACAGGACTCCGCTTTGGCTATACATTTCATACCTCTGTCAAGATAGATGAAGAGGTGGGGAGGCAATATTTGGGAGTGTGTTTAGAAACCAGAGACGGGCTAGATAGGTCTCTGTATCTGTCTCTAGATTGAGCATAAATGCTATTAATGAGTTGTTGTGACAGCAGGTGTGGCAGTCTGTAAACTTTACCTGCATAAATCGTTCTTTCTGTTGCTTCTAGGATGAAGAAATATTTTTCAGTCTGGAAAATCAATGTTAAAAGAAGCAAGGCAAACAAGAGCGAGTCAATTTGAATGTAGGTTTTTCATGAGAAAAGAGTTAAAGGAATATTTCGTCTTCTGATGTACACTTTATTAGCTTATAACTTTCCTGAAATATTTTATGAAACCACAATGACTATTATAGAAATGCTAGATTACCTGTTGATGACTTCATAGAAGATTTTCTGTAATAATAATTTTATGGTATGTTTATCTTATCGTGAAAAAGCCTGGAATCTTAATCTGGAGAAATCTGACCTTTAATTTGGTGTTTGTCTAGTGCCAAGCACAGTAGGATTCTGCTCCATGACTAGGGATTTTCAGCTATAAATAGGATGAAAATAATAATTAATTAGTGTTCTGTTGTAAAGTGAGAGTGGTTGTGCCAAGCTGAATACGGAGTGAATGAGAAGATGGAATTCAGTCTACATGTTGAGGCGAGAAAATAAAATCCTGTCACGCTTCATCTTGTCTCCTTATTGGCTTACATTATCAGCACGTAAACAAAACTTGCACTGTGTAGGTTTGATGATGAAAAAGACATTGACTCTTCGCTAGAGATTTTTTCCCCCTTTTAATGAAAATTTAACCTATAGGTGAGATTGTTCCTATAGGTTTTTAATTAAGTCTTGTGTTAGGAAGAGACTTCCTTCTGAGGTACTGTAGTGTAGCTGAGTCAGGTTCTGTCCTTCTGGAACTTTATTGTGTCCTTTCCTAAGGAGCCCGGTGCAACATCGTCTTAAAATTTTCTGTGGTCCTTATGCTTTGGATGAGTTTTATATCAAAATGAGTAGATTTGTTCTGAGAGCATGTGGATTAATCTTTCTCTTATACACAGAGGTAAGGAACTGGAAAAGGCTTATGTCTCTTCTCTTGCATTTGAACGCTCTAGTGGAAAAGGCATAAGCTATCGGGTGGTCCTTTGTTCGTCTAATTTTAGAGTCACTGAAATGGGAAAGGTATTAGAGTAAATAGGGTTTTTAACTGCATAAAATCTGAAAACTGTCATTTATGGAATGAACCATTAAAAATAATTCATGGTAAAACAGCTTCTGCAAAATAGTAATGCTTTCTCTTAACTATTGAGTTAGTCAGAGACATGTTCATTAATTCGTACATTAATATTTAACCGTTACTTAGCTCTTTCC